AATTATCAAGATTATAGGATCCACTAAAAGTATTTCAAATAAGTATAATTTAAATTCTTTTTATTACTCAACTAGACACATAAAGAAGATTCCAATCAAATAATTTAATATTTTATTTTAAGTTATTAACATGATCATATTAAATATTTTTAACTATTTTATTTGAATAATATTAACACTTGTAAATATTGTCAAGTATTAATGATGTTAATTTATATTAACAACAAATCAAGATCTTTTCATACCATAAATATTAGTTCTTTATATGTTATGTTATTAAAGAATCAAGAATTTATTATGTTAATTATTATATACCTTGAATTAAGACTCACCGCTTAACCAGAAAAATATTAAAATGATAACAATTATATTACCTGTGCTAACAAATTTTATTGAATTTAAATAATAAAATCTATAATAAGTTTATATTATATTTATTTTTATATTCTTAATATAATATTTAAAAAATAAATATAATTAAATATAATTAAAAAATTATAAATAAATAAAACAATAACATAGATAATTATTACACACATCGAGGGAGGTGGATACTTTTTGGGTGAAGGGAACATGTTAGCCGCCATTGTCCTTGGCTCGTAGACAACAGTCGAAAAGTTAATGTCGAGGGAGAGAGTAGCGTACAAGACCAGTATCATTGCATGAGAATGAGCTGGAGACATTTTTTTAACAAGTGGATTGAAGATAGTGTAAAATAATGATTGGTAGATAATGTAATAAAATGTCTACAATAAATTATTACTCTGTGTTCTTGGAAAATTGAAAAAAAAAAACTAAAACAAAGTTTTTAATTTTTGAAATATATATTGATTTTAAAAAACACATTTTAGAGGTAATCTACAAATTTCTAGTTTTCTGTATTTTCAAAATAAATAAAAGACAAACAATCCTTTTCTTTTGTTTTATATACAAGCATTATTTAGCAACGTAAAATATTAAAACTATTTTTTTATATTTAATTAATGTCACAAACTCTAAGTATTTTTATTATAAATCTAACATAAACATTTTTCAATTAATTATATAATTGTTTTAATAAAATATTATCAAAAATATAAAATATTAGGATATCATTGTAATTCTAATGTAATTCTTATGTGAAAAAATATGTCTTTATTGTCAATAAATAAACACTTTTTTAATATATTTAACAAACTCCAAGTATCTCTAAATTAAATTATAACTAATTTTTATGTAAGAATTAAGAAATAGAAAAATCTACCACGCTGGGTGATGGTGTATATTTTTTTTTAAAAAAAAAATAGTCATACAAATTGGAGTTCGTCCACGCCATTAATCAAATGGATTTAAAAAGGGGCAAGAGAAGTCGGACCAATATGTTAATGTATATACTATGTAATTTATTGATTGATTATATATAGTATTGCTTTGTTCATGTAAATATATTTAATTTTAATAAAAAATTTATTTATCTTTAATACTTATCAAATATTTAATTAATAAATCTAATATTTGATTAATGAATCTAAAGTGAAAATAAAGATATTGAGACAAAAAAAAAATTATAAAGTTATTATAATTATGAGATTTCTATTATATCGAAGCATTATTCTTAAATGTTCTTAGTCAATCCTCTATTAAAATTGGATATTAATTAGAGCTATTAAAAAAGATACGTGTTATATTTTTCCCTTGAAGTAAAAACTTATAAAAGAAAATAAACTAACCAAATTAAAATAAAAAATATATTTCAGTTAACACTATCATTGAACCTTGAAAACCATTTATTGTCCTGCGATTTCCATTCAAGATGTTTGTAAAACCTGGTCTATTGAAACAATGAAATTTCCATAAAAAATTTAAAGGTCAATGTTATTGTTCTTGTAACCTTAATATTTGTAGACCTAAAATTACAGTTGTTAAATGAAATTATTTTTTGAAAAATTATTAAACATGTTATTGTGAAAGCAAAATAAACTTACATTTAAAGTTCATCATTACACTAATTCTTATGCTTGTGGGTAAATGGATCCTATTGTAAAGGAATCCCCCCTCGAGCCCGCGTTCTAAGTCAATGTTTGT